ACTTTATCTTTATTACGTGATTGTACTTCACTACATAATTGTACCTCACTACGCAATCGTATCTCATCACTACACGATCATATTACTTCATTACGCGACTGTACTTTGCTACACAATTATACCTCACTATGCAATCGTATCTCATTATCTCACTACACGACCATATTACGTGATTGTATCTCGCTACGCAATTATATTTTGCTACACAATCATACTTCGCACATAATTATATTTCATTGCACGATCGTACTTCATTACTATGTGACTGTATCTCGTTATGCGATTGTACTTCATTATGTGACTGTACTTCGCTACACAATTGTACCTCACTACGCAATCACTATGCGACCATATTATGCGATCATATCTCATTACGCAATTGTATTTTGCTACACAATTGTACTTCGCTACACAATTATACTTCATTACATGATCGTACTTCATTATGTAACCGTACTTTGCTATATAATTGTACCTCACTATGCAATCGTATCTCATTACGCGATCGTATCTCACTACGTAACTGTATTACATGATCGTATCTCACTACGCAATTGTATTTCACCACACAATCATACTTCGCTACACAATCGTATTTCGCTACATAACCGAATCTCATTACGCAATTGTATTTCGCTACACAATCGTACTTCACTACACAATCATACGTCACTACGTGATCGTACCATACTTCGTGAACATACTTCATGCTTTACAATTGCATTATTGAATTTGCTTCTAATAGATATTAGAACAAGAGCCTCAAGTTTTTAGTCATGCTAATGCTGTCAAGAACCTTATTAATAATCGTCAATTTTGGATTGATGTTGAACAATTGCGAAATATTCTTGGTTCAGCAAAGCGAGCCGTAAAAAATGTTGAATTTCGCACTACTATATTAGCTGACATATTTGTTGAATTGGCGAAAATGGCAATTGCGATTCAAAAAACTTCTGCTTTGTTCAATAGTCAGTTCCGATGTGATTGCATAGCTATTTACAATAAACGGTGGAAGGAATTTGACACAGATTTGTATCTTTTGGTATTTTTTTTACATCCAACTTATCGCGGTATTTAATAAATTCTAATCTATAATATATTTCTAAATGCTTTCACTTATTAACCTATATTTTTTAATTAGGTGAATTTTTTGAGGCAAGCATATATAAAAATCATGTTCTTAAGAAAGCATTGGAAATTTGGAAACAAATTGGTGGTGGTCGAACAAGTGCCGATTTCTTAAAAGTTCAAATGAGCTTATATAAAAATCAAGAATCTCCCTTTGATGATATGTTTAATTCATCCATCAATACGATCTATAATTGGTGGCTCTCGGTTGATCTTAAAAAAAATGAAGATCATATTAAGACTTTAGTGATAAGAATACATACTATTGTTCCTCACAATGCTACATGTGAGCAAGTCTTTAGTGTATTGAGTTGGTATTTGGAAAAGCGACGAAATAAGTGAGTTTTTATGAATTAGTGAAGTATTTTATAATATTATATAAATGTTATAAAGATTATACATGGGGAATTAATACCTTAATCTTTATTAATTTTTTATTTGCATTTTAGTATACATATTAAACAGTTAGAGACTATGGCACAGATGCATTCTTTTTTAATTGAAAATGCCAAATCAGAACTTAATTTTGTAAATTCAAACTTGGATCAAAATGAATTTTTATCAATTTTCAATCAAATCGCATTTGCTATGCAAGAAGGAAATGATTTATTTAATGAAGAAGATTCTTTTTCTTTTCAAGAAGAATCTATAGAAGAAATTTCAGAGGATTCAGCAATTGATTTAATTGGTGAAAATGCATTAAATTTAGAAATTGAAAATTTTATAAATTTATCTTCAAATTTAGAGCATAATGAATTATTTAATTCAACTGAAGAACAAATTGAA